AAGCATTAGTAGCAACAAAGAATATTTTATTGTAAATCTGAGTTCCTGTTTTGGTATTAAACAAAGAAGGAACCAGATGAAATTTTACCACGTGAATTCCTGCACTCTAGGGAAAGCAGATTTGGGTCCGTTTCTTATCTCTGCAAAAGGGTAATTAGGCAAAGAAATGAATATCAAATCCTGGAGAGAATGACATATGATCTGAAAAATCCATATTTAGCCTAGGTGGGGTTACTTTCTGTGTACGCAGTGCTTACGGTGGGTCAAAGAAACTATTTCTGACAGAGCCTGAAGAGCCACTAAAAAGAGGTGCACTCCTTACATTCCCCTTGGCAATATTTGGAATGGAGCCGTTCAGAGAAGGATAAATAGAATGTGTACTTGATTTAGATTACAATTTCAGATATTTAAAAGTAACTTCAGGAGCTGAAAATAAAAACAAAAACCAGAAACCAAAGCTTGGAGCTGCAACAAAAGAGTATCTTCAGCATTTGGAAGAAGAAAAATTGAATTTACATTCCGATCTGATATTATTAGCTCTTGGTGATAATGTAAAACCTTAAATCTGCTTTCCTGGCTTTTTGAAATCTCTGCCAAGATTTACCCTGTTGTATCTTGAGTTCATAAAGGCCCATTCCCTGCTTAGTTGCTTTGATCATGGTTCTTTTCGTAACAGCAGGAAGCAAATTCTTCGCTTGCATGACCTCTTAAAGAAAAATTTATTTTTTCTTTTTTTTTTTTTAAAAAAAGGCAGACTTCTGTAGAATAGAACTCCATTTGATGCATCCTTCTATCCTGACAGTGATCTGTCGATAACTATTCAATGAGTACGATTTCCAGCTGCTTCCGTACAATTGAAACGTAGGAAGGTCCATCTGAACATAAGGAAAAACATTTTTACTGTGAGGGTGACTGGGCACTGAACAAGTTGCCCAGAGAGGTTGTGGAGTCTCCTTCCTTGGAGATATTCAGAAGCCGTCTGGACATAGTCCCGGATAATGTGCTCTTGGTGACCTGCCTGAGCAGGCACTTGGACCAGGTAAATCTGCAGAGGTCCCTTCCAACCTCAACCATTCCGTGATTCTGTGATTTTTTATTAAGCCTCAAGAGAGATCTCCCTCCATGTTTGTGTCAGGCTCTTCTTTTCCAAAAAATCTGCTTATTAGTGACTTGTAATCTACTGTGTGAATCTTTTGAGTTGTATTCTGTAGACAGGAGAAGGATCTTAATACCTGTCTCCCTCAAAGCTTCATATGGGCAACGTGGAAACAGCTTTGGTCAGCGTTAGCTGTCATTGGACTAGGATGATTCAGTTCTGTCCACTGTGATTAAAAAGTGAATGAGAATTGCAGATGGATTAAAATAAATGTTCTTAAAAAAACCGTTTTTACTCTGAAATGGCCAGATAACACTGATCCTCCTGTTACATGTGATTAATTTGGAGGCAGAGATGAGAAATACAATGCAATATAATCTGGAAGACAAGTTATTGTGGAATTGGATTTGTCCTCATTTTACCAAATGTTGGACAATGTTAGATGTTTTAAGTGGATTGGTTAGCATGCATTGCACCATAGCTCGCATGCAAGGCTTTAGGCTGAAAAACAAAGGGAAGAAGGCCTCTGTTAAATAAAAGGAGTACTGTGGGTGTCTGAAAGGCTTGAGCGCCCACACTTAGCAACGGCATCTTTCGACATCGGTTTGGTGACACCTAGTGACCGAAAGTGTTACTGTACCTCTTAAATTTCCACTTCATTCAGAGTGCATAAGGGCAATTGCTTTTTTATTTAAGTGGATATGAAGCAATATTGTGTAAAGCCTGCAAAGAAGCTATGTGGTTATGGCTGAATCCTGTAAGGATTCTTAGAAAAAGAAACAAGAGTTAAAAATCAGTCATTTTGAGTGTTATTTTTCTTGTGATGGTATTAGCGACTTTTCAGTTTATGCGTGCAACAAGTGTTCGAATGTTGAAAGATCTAAGATTAGCTTTAGCTCTGGCTGTTCTTGCTTATCCAGGTTAGGGTGATATGTAGCATTAACTAGTCATGTATTTTTATTCCCTCCCCACTCCCTTTATACTAAATGCAATATAAGAGGAATTGCATTGTTCTATAAGACATGCCCTCCTGGATATTTTGCAGGAATTGAACACATGCCAGAGGAGACAGTATAAAATCAGAGTTCCAACTCCAGTATTCTCTGGATATTTTTTTTGTTCTTGACAGTTCATTAGGGTTGTGGGAGCACGTTACTTTATAATAATTATGCAAAGGATACGTCTATGGGTGTTCCAACTCTTACTGTTCAATTCATATGCGCCCATGAAATTAAGCATCTCACTACTGAAGAGAGCTCTGTACTTCTAACAGACCTGACTGCCACATGTTTTTTTGAGCAGATAATGGATTTCAGTGTGACAACTCCTTATTTTCCTGAATTGCCACAGGTATTTAAAACCGCAAGTTTAAGAGGAAACGTCAGTCTTCACTTTATTTCATCTTTGCATTAACTTTTTTTTTACCTCAAGACAGAAAAAGAATGATCAGTGTAGAAAGTTTATACTTCTTAGCTAAAGACTGTGAAGTTCAGTTTCACTTTATTCATGTGAGGAGCCCTGTGCAGTTCTCCTATATAGTGTGGACATTTTCAGGAAGATTGTCGACTTTGGACAATCAGCCAGAACTGGCTTGAGCAACAACCTGAAATTTCTAAACAAATCTTCTTAGGATGGGGCATTCAACTAGGAAGTTTTACCAGGTTTATACTTAATTTCTCACATAAACAATTTTAGATGTACAAAGTGTCTAAAAAATAGGATTAGCAAGTTAGTAAAGGGCCTGTACTGCAGAAAAAACATTGGAAATATACATACTGATTTTCGTTAAGTTCTGTTTCAGGCCCTTAGTATGTCTTCTGCCCTCCCCCCACCCCCCGCCCCGGATATTGTTGTGTTACTTATTCAGGAAATTCCTGAAAGCATGACGGAAGTATATTTTTATGCACCGTATAAATCAAGGAGCCTGAATATTTTTGCAAAGCAAAAAACATCCAAACAGAACCCCAAAACTCCACATCCAAGTCAGAACACATCTAGGCTGAAACAAAAGCATGGAAATTTTATTAAAAGCAAAAAACTGAGAAGTCTGTAGAAAAATGGGTATCAGAAAAAATGGAAGCTGGAATACAGCCTTCGTTCAAGTGTACAACGCCCAAAATACCTGAGATGTGGTACCTGAGAGCTACTCATGTAAAGACAAGCATCTGCATTTTTTTAAAAAGTGTTTTCTTGTCATGTTTTTGAAGAATCAAAATAATATAGCTTTGTATGTGTCAGAAACTCATTGCCATTTGCAACCCTGATCTGGACTACGGGAGAAAAGAGATGGTCTTGCATGGCTGTAAATCTGTTCTGTGATGCGCTGGGCCTCATACTAAGGGAAAACTGTGAGGGTAGGAAGGTAAAGAACATATTTTATCTCAGCATATCCCCCCCCCAACCTAGGAAAATCGGTGTCCAAATTCCTCTACACAAAAATGTTTAAAAGGTTCTTGATAAATCAGTGGTTGGGTTTCCTACTTGCAAACAATTAAATTCAGGTAGATCTCTGCACAAATCCTTTGGGTTTCAGAATGTGGATGATTTTTTGGAACTCCAGAGTAAAGAGTGCCAAATTCATCATAGTATTTAAGGAAAAAGAAGTCTGACACTGTTTCCAATTTTCAGGGAAGCGTTTTGTCTCTTTTTTTTTTTTTTTTTTTCCTTTGCAGGTCTTGTAGACATAATCACAGGATACTGATTAAATAATGGTTTGTTACAGCGTGATGCACATGAAATGTGATAAGAGGACACACGTGCCCGCTGAAATCAAGGGGGTCTTATTCTGTGAAAACAGCAGTATAAAATGTTTCCAGATGCTGATATTGGAGTTACAGATGTTTTCCACTGTATCTAAGCCCTTTGATTTGTACTGAATACAGCTAGTTTGTTCTCCTTGTTTATTTCACTTCTTTTCATTTGTATTCTTCCCTTCTCTTCCATACGCATATTTTTAGTTCTGTGCATGTCATCCCTCTGCTGCAACTTCCAGTGACTTCCTATCATCTGTTAACAATTTGCAAGTATCTATTTCATGTCAAGGCACGTGAAAACAAAAATGGGAAAACAGCCCTTCCCGAAACTGACTCACTGCATTGGCAGCCAGAACGTCCTCCTGACTGCAGTAAGCTACTTCAGAAAACAATCACTGACAAATAGACTGAAAAACAGCAATCAGCTGTTATAATGTAATAAATGTAATGAAAGCTATACTAATATGACTATCTAATGCAATACAAGAAAGCATTGCTTCCCCTGGGAATGCCAGTAGCTTGTTGACCTAGGAGTTCAAGGATTTCGGGAGTCAGGACCAAGATTTTTATTAACTGCCTCTAGAAGCCACAGAGAGCCTGAATGGAAGGCAGTAGGCATTTTGCTAGTATAAATGCTGTGATCCAAACAATCATTTACAATTCAATCTCATAATGTAAAGTTAAAACTGGTTTGCCTTTAATAATTGTGAAATAAATTATTTTCATGAAAGTAATAGTTGGAGAACATGACAGTTAAGTGCTTATTGAGATAAATGATGTACGGAAGGTCATTGCAAAGTTTTTAAGGGACCTCTGTTTTCCGCTAATCTAAGAGGCCTCTAAGCGTCCAAAAAAGATAATTCTCTTTTCTAAATATCTATGGGTGCATATATCTGCAAGTGTTTTCCCAAAGGCTTTGGAATATAGCTGCAAAACCTCTATTTTGCTTTAACTTAACTATATTTTCCTTGTAATTGTGTATTTTCCTTTTAATTGTATTTTGAGGGATATCTTAAGCAATCTGTGATTAGTGCTTTGTATGGAATTAAGTGGGACTCTTCCGTTACAGACTATAATCTACGTAATGAACCCATTATCAACCTATACCCAGGTTGCCCTGTAATATGGTATTGCCATTGCTAGTTACAGGCTATCAGCTTTGTACTAAGTTTGCAAAGCCTTAGGACTTGAGGCTTGTCGTTCTTGCTCTGTCTGAACTTTTTTTGACCTGCCTGCAGCTTTGTTTTACTGGGGTTGGCTGTGACAGCAGTTTCTCTAATTGACCAGGTGTCTATGGCTAATTTATTTTACTTCTGTTATCTCTGTATGCTCTGACCATAGTTTTATATAGAGCACGGTCGGTAATAAGCAGGCCCTGGAGACCCCACAACTCACCAATGGTCCGTTAAGGAAATGCAGATCTGGAGCCAAACAAAACTGAATTTAAAGCTAACAAAGAGAGCAGAGAAATAGTATCTAACAGAGGTAACAGGCGCCTTATATAGCAAACTTGGATATAACGTGGAGCTGCAGGCCAATGAAGAAAGAGCAACAAGTAGAAGTGCCTTAGCAAACATACAAAAATGACCCCAAGTGTATCCTAGAGACAGAAAGAAGCAAGCATCAACATGAACATCGTATTCTTCTTGATGAAGGACTCTAGGTGCTGACAACTTGCCGTAACACCCCACGTCCCACCAGAGTGACACCACCAACCTTAGGACCCAGAGTAAGTGTAAGCATAACATCGGGCAAGAAGTAGAAACTAACAAGTGTATGTATAACAATTTTAACTCTATTATTATTATTGAAACCTTTTCTGCATGTATGTATTCTGGCTCTAACAATTCTGGATGAACAAGGATTCTCGGATTACACTGTTAAGATTTCAGTTTTACAAATAATACATACTTAGCCTTATATAGATGATGTATTTCCTCTTTGCCCAGAAACAAGATTTTGAGTCTAACAAGTTGGCGCGTAGACAGTAAATTTCTGGCTCAATAACATAGAAGTTTAGGGTTTTGGAAAAGCCCATTTTATGGATAAGCGTTAAGTTGCTCCACACTCAGGAATAATGCATTAGACTGGTGCCAAGAAATCACCTTGTTTTATACTTCATCTTTGCAAAGCATAATATCTTGTTTAAACATAAATAATGAATCACAGCTGGACGTTTTCATTTGTAATAAGTCTTGTCTTCACTATTTAAACTATGAGGTGGACAAATACAGCTAACAATGATTCAGAGCGGATATTAATTCCAACCCATGCCTGACTGAAGAGGCAAAAATGTGCTCCTCAAATATTTATGATAGTAAAAATTTTGGAGAGAGAATTTGCAAATATATTGTGTATATACATGCTAGGCTTCATGTGATAACTGCTTTATGCCCTTTTTGTATGATTAATAAGATGTCTTATTCAAAAGCATGATGTCACAGAATAATTCACATTGGAATTATTCCTAGAGACGTGGGTCTCTAGTCCAGTCTCAGGACCAAAGCAGGGTCAGACTGCTTTGGCTTTGTAAAGCTCATGGCTTTATCCAGTTGGGTCTTAAAAACCTCCAAGGATGGAGAGAGACAGCACAATGTCTGTGGGCCCTGGCTGCACTGCCTGACTCTGTTCATGGTGTAAGTATTTCCTAAAACCCAGTGTGAACCTGCCATTTCAATTTATTTCTGTTTTCTCTTGTTTTCCTGCCATGCACTTCAGTGAAGAGCCCAGCTCTGCCTTCTCAATAACCTCCTCGTAAGTGGTGGAAGGTTGGTTTAAGTGCCCTTCTCTCCTCCGGGCTGAACAAGCCCCGTTCCCTCTGACTCTCATAGGGACAGTACACCTGTGCCCATCCATCTTGGTGGCTCTCTGCTGAACTTGCCCCAGTTAATCAATGTCTTTCTTGTACTGGGGGCAGGGACAAAACTGGCTACAGTATCCAGATGTGATCTAAAGAGTGCTTAATTGGGGGGGAGGGGGCATGCAGGAGGAAGAATCACTTCTCTTGATGTATGCTTAAGCTCCTGTTAGTACAGCCCAGGATGCTGTTGGCCTTCTCTGCTGTCAGGGCATACTGCTGGCGGGTCCCGCCCCCCCCGCCCCCCCCCCCCCCCCTCCCCCCCCAGTCTTTTCAGCAGAGCTGCTGCCTAGCTGGTCAGTGCTCAGCCTGTACTGTTGCAGGTAAAGTGCATCGTAGGCGCAGGACTTTGCATCTGTCCATGTTTAACTTTATCAGGTTCCTGTTGGCCTATTTTGCAGCCTGACTAGGTCCCACTGAACTGCAGCTCCGCCCTGGAGCAAATCTGCTAAGATCTTGTGGTTTGGTGGCATCTGCAAAGTTGATAAGGGTGCACTTTCTTTCCTCCCCCCTGGTTACTGACGGATACTGGACAGGTTCCAGTATAGACCCTGCCAAACTAGACTTGTTAACCAGCCTCCGGATGGGGTACAAAACACTAACCCCTACCCTTTGAGCTTCATTGCAGCCAGTTTTTCACCCATCTAATTGTCCACCCATTTAAACCGTAACATCCCAGCTTAGATGGCAATTAAAATGATTTGGGAGACCATGTCAGAAGCCTTGTTAAGGCCAGTATAAAGCTGTAACTTGCTCCTTATGTGAAAAAAAAAGGTATAAAATAGAATAGCTAGGAACTGGTTACTTGATGGTGCTTAAAGAACTATTTATCAAACTCGATAAAAGATATCTCCAAGAAGACAATTCAGGAACTCTTTTGACTCCTCGAGTCTTAACAAGCTTCTTCACAGAATTACTTATGTTTGAAAGGTTACTGAGAAATCTGCAGGACTCTCTATTGGAAAGAATATCCGGACCTGTTGGAAAGATTTCAACTAACTGTTACTCAGCTACTCTGAAATCAGAGGGCTACTGAACTACTGTGTGAAACCATTAGGATGAGGGTTGGACTCGCAAAGATAATCAAGGAGGAGGGAGTGATCATTTCTTTTACTGCATAATTTTTACAACATAAGTAACCCACGTTTTGGGCCGCAAAGGCCATATGCTAGTAAGTTGTGTGTGCGTGCGTGCTGCCTCTCTTTCCACTGTCATCCACTTGTTGCCTATCCCGTGTTAAATCTAGACAGTTATCTAAGTAGCACTGGACAGTGGGATTATTTTAGCTGCCCTCTGTGGAGTTTTTCTGAGTGGCCCCATAGTACCTGTAAAGTAAACATCAGGTTTCTGCTTTACATGTAGACAAATTATTTCTTTTTTTCTTTCTTTCTTTTTTTTTTTTTTTGGTACATAGCTCCTTTGGAGATACTGGTTACTGAGATCTCCAAAAAATCTAGTATTTGTTGCATATTTATTCCATACCATTCATTTCCTTTTCCCACAGATTTGCTTTAGAAGCAGTTAAGGGTTGTCTGCACATTTTGTGGATTTCCAGCTTTCAAATGCTAATACGAAGTTTCAAGCTGAAACGAACAGCATGGCTTTTAACATTTAAAATGGCTTCTATGGCGAAATTTTGTTCAAGCTTGTGGATGCCAATGATGCTTTGGCAAACTGAGATGTTCCCCTGGAAACATTCGTATAACCCCGAGCGTTTCACTCCAATCCTCCTGTACTCTAAAATGAAGAAGGGCGGTGCTGCGAGGAGTTCAGGTTACTCAGTGTAGTGTCGTGCCTGCTGACAGTGAGATTTCTGCGCCGAGCCAGTTGTTTCCATGCGTGGCTGTTAACGCTCTTCATCTTGTCTCACCGGACAGTTTTGGGGCTGGGTCACACAGCTGCACCTCGAGTTTCCCAAGTCCACGCCAACACGTTTCCCTGTTGCTGTCGCAAACTGCTTCTAAACCCGTGGAAACCAGCAAGAGCTGCCAGCAGGAAACCTGCCTGCCGGCGACGGGCTTCTCG